TATACCCACTGAGATATTTAAATAGAACTAGTGTATGTTCTGCCTTGCTTTCTACTGTCTGTGACTTCCCTATCTCCTATAACACAGCCTGTGTCTGCTCTCCTAACTTCTGTCTCACTCATCCACTTGGCTCATTGACTTAATAAAAATAATTTATTATCCTGATATTTTGATGAAATTGGAAATTTCTATACACAGGCGATAAGGATCATACAAAGAGCTGCCTCGCTTCTACAAGATAGACTTGTGCTTTTCTTAACCTCATTGACTTTGAGATAACAGTAATTGTATGGGAGATAGATTGTCATTGCCTGCTATTGGATTGTTTTCACTATACAGGCATGTAGTGTCTCCATTCTTTCCCTCAGATTGGAAAGCTATTGGGGCATGACATCCTCCCCCAATATGCTGGAAGTACATTGTAACCCTTTCGGTGCCAGAGAGGTCAAACAACGTCAAGGAGAACTCCATGGGCACAGAGCATCAAGTGTCCTATTCTACCATTTCTTTCTTCCTGATCTGTAGAGTAAGGAAGAAGCTGGAATTTTAGTTGGTATAATTATAACAGACACTTTCATTTTAGACACCTTTGCTGCATGAATCCCATAAATTCACAATTTTGGTCATTTACAGTCAGGGACAGGCAGCAGAGATAACAGAAGTGGTGACTACCAACAGGCTTTTTTGGCCAGAAGGTCTGATTTCTGCATTGCCAACATAAGGCATGGCTAGGGCAGCAAAGCAACCACAGGGGCATTTTCATATATTAAAAAGATTCCAGCTTTTATATTGCATAAATGCAGCAGGAGGAGCTAGAACACACAAAGGAGAATGGGAATACTCAAAACTCCCAGTGGGACAGAAACAAGGACAGAGTCAGAAACTAAGAGCGGGAGGTCTTGCTCTTGGGAGTATCTAAAACACAAAAGAAGCCAGGGTTAACAAAATGTCCATTTTGGGTGGGTTGACCCCTAAAATTTTGTGGAAAGTGATCACAACTTCAGATGTGCAGATGACACCAATTTATGGTGGAAAATGATGGGGGTCTGAAGAGCTTGTTGTTCAATGTGAAGGAAGTTGGCTTCCTACCCAACATTAAACTGTGAGGTCATGACAGCTAGCCCTAACAACTCTAGACTGGGAGGAAGAAGAGGTAGTTGGGTTCCAAGATCTCTGATGGTGCCTGCAAGCATGCAGAACTCCAGAAACATAAAAAACACACAATTGAATCAAGTTATGTATTAAAAATAAATAATTACATTTACTTTTAAATAGAAATAGAATAAATTATTGAAAGGCCAGATATTATTATTCAGGAGTTATATAGCACTAACAGTTTGCTCAGCACATTAAAATATACAGAGAGACAGTACAGTTAAGAATAAAATCAAGGAGGGTTAAGAGGGCCCTGCTCATAGGAGCTTACAATCTAATAGAACCTCTTTAAGGCTCTTCAGCATTTTTAATGCACTGCACAGCAGCCACATACTGGGAGAGGTAGGATTGCCATTCTGATTACAGGTCCATTTTTTTGCACAGTGCTGTCAATCAGCAGTTTTAACTTGCTTAGAGGCAGAGATAGCAGAGTGATAACTTCATCAGTGTGCTGCTTTGTTTTCACTGTCCAATCACAGGCTGGGGAAAGATTGGTGACCAGGCTGTATTTCTCAATTCCAGCAAAAAAGCATGGTCACCAACCTGGCTGAGGTACCTGGTTCACAAGACTGTCTGAACACACAATTACAAATCATCCGACAGGTAAAACATTTCATGTATACAGACTTCCGCTGTGTATTTTGCTGTTTGAAGAACATTATTGCAAATCTAGATAAGAGAAAGAATACTGCAATGTTCAGCAATCTTCAACCCCAAAGCTCAGGCCTTTCCAGCTGCAACATATGGCAGTAAAATGTGGACCTTTAGGCTGTATCTCATAAAATCAACACATTCTAATTATTGCTTTGGAGAAAGTTTGTGAAAGCAACCTGACACTACTTCAGGTAATAAACCTAACTTGCAGAGAGATATTAAAATAAAAGTGACTTCACAGCTGCCAATCAGCAACAGACCTGTCCTAAAAATCTAGGTCTGATTGGTGGATGTGGTGAAATAATTTCAGACCCTTTTAACCTCCCTAGCGGTCTGATTATGTCAGTATTTCTGTGCTCAAAGCGGCACATTTTTTGCATGGAAATATGTATTTTTTTTATTGTAGGCCTGTTTTTTGTAGGAATAACTCACTGAAATCTGTCCGAACAAGAGTCTATTAAACATCCGGGTAGGATAAAACTTGAAACCCGAAATCATAAATTATAATTTAATAAATAATCATAAAAATAATAATATAATTATAATAAATTTAATTCAATAATATACTCAAACCAAAAACACTGAAATTTGAAATATAGCGCCAAGTTCGCACATCACTGAGCAAAGTCGCAGAATCGTTTTCAGTGTCTGATGACAAATTTCCTCACAAATCATTATCACTCAATTCTGCAAGTAGTTCTAATTTACTATCGCTGTTCTCTAGCTGGTTTAAAACCGCTTTTGACCTAAAGGGATGCTTTTTGGACGCCATGGGCGTTTCTCAGTTTCCAGGCAGAAAGAACAGTAAAAATGCAGGCAGGGCACAGGACAAAGTACTCGGGACAAAATGTATGTGAAATGGTTTGATACAGTAATGTTTTACTATGTGATTTTAGTGAATGTCACTTTTTGTCATTTTCAAATTTCCCGCCGTTACGTCCCCCGTACGTCAAGACGCTCGCAGGGGATGGAACCCGGATGACAGATGCCAGCATCGGCCAGAGGACATTACAGGGGACACTGCAGGAGGGACATCGCGGGAGCGAATAACAAGGTAAGTGATCGAGGGATCGCGGAGCAGCGCCGCAAGGTAAGCCCGAGTGTAGCTCGGGGTTACCGCTTGTGGGACTGAAACTTTACCCCGAGCTACACTCGGGAATACCACCAGGGAGGTTAAAGGCCGAACCAGGAAGATATAACACCCCCCCCCCCATAAATTAATGTATCTCTGTATTTGTTAATGCATCCTTAAATGTGTTTATTTGAATGCAGTGTAAATACCTGATTTTTTTGTAGCAGCCTTGTACTTTGTGTACAGCAGAACTCTGGCTGAGGGAGGGAGAAGCAGCACAGGGAGCCAATCTGTTGTGCTGCAGTGTAAGGAGTACACTGATAGGAAGAGTGAGCACAGCTACAGAATGATGATCTGCTGCCTTCCCTTTCACTGTCAAGACATAGACTACAAGTGGTGACACAACCTGTAAGTGTTATGAAACTGCAGCGGTCTTCTGACCTGCCAGACAGGGCTGTGTTGTGTGGCAGAGTTGTGTAAATCTCAGGCTTGGATGGTCAGAAATACAAATCTTCGGCAGGTAAAATAGCTCCCTTAGGTTCATGTACACTGCAGCTGCTAAACTCACGTTTAGGAGCTTTTCTGCATTTTTTTCAGCATCCCCTGAACTCTCCCTAATGTTTTCCTATGTGTCCATGTACACTATGTCGTTTACAGTTGTTTACAGGCAGTTGAGTTTACAGTCATTTTTTATCAGTAGATTTTATCAGCGTTTTAAACGCCAAACGCTTGTAAACACGTGTAAACTCAGCTAACCGTGTTTATAAGCATTTGCGTTTGGAAATTTTTTTTAACTCTTCCATTTCCAGATGCTGTCCAGAGCCTTTTTTCATCATGAAAAATGCATGCAAAGCATTTTCCCGGTACTCAAATGGACCTGGTACACCATAACATACCATATGTTAGACATTGCTGCAATAATTTCTGCACAGAAATGAGCTGGAACACATCCAAACAACACAAAAAAAAAAAAAAAAAAATGACAGCTAATCTCAACAAATACTGCTTTCTCTGCTTCTGCTCTCTCTATTTCTCTCAAAATGTCTGAAATAGTTCATTTTTTTACTGTTTTTCAGTGCATTCTGGTCATTTTGGAAGGTTTCCTGAGGTTATCTTAAAAAATGGCTTCTAAACGCAAACGCGCATAAACGCAATATGCAAACACGGCTAAACAGATGTTTTTTGACCTACGTTTTCCAGCAGTCAGTTTCCATCGTTCAGAAGTGTTTTCCAAACATCCCGTGTACATGGAGCCTTATATGAATTTCATATGTGTGTTTTCCTGGAGATTAGTTTTCCAAACATGTTGATACATCGTGCCCATAATGAAAGGCAAGGCTCATTAAACAAGATTTTTATGATGGGAATAATTGTAGGCAAAAGGAGAAAATAAGATGAGACATACCAAGGTGGACCAAGAACATTCTCAGAACAACTACTGCTGGCAGGGAGGCTGGTGTTGCCAGTTCATTATGAAATATAATATAACATATAATAAGATGACTTTATATAATAAACATGTAGCAGTGTCATTCAGGCTGCATTAAATCACCCCTGATGCTCAGAGAGCTACAGTATGTGTTCATCAGAACCCTGTAATAATAATATCTCCTCTGCTACATCTCCAAATTTCAGTTTAAAAAACAAAAAAGGCTGTTGTGTTATATAAGCAGACAGGATTATTGAAGAAAAGTTTACTCTTTGCCATATTTACAGTCAACCAGAGCGTGGTGATAACTTTCAAATAAAAGCTAGAGTTTAACTTTTTCTTTTTTTGGGATGAAATGTGATAAGATCAATTAGCTTTTGGGGCCACTTGCAAACAGTTCCAGAGATGCAGGTGGGCTGTCTGCCACTGTTCAGATCCTTCCTGTGAAATGCAGCTACAGCCTCAGAAACCCATTAAAATCAATGGTTCCTATAGCTGGATCTGCTTTGTGATGAAAAAGGCCAAGCTGTCCTCAGGTCGCCTTGTAGCTGAAATAGCTACCTGGCAGGATTTGCTCTGTTTGCCACAAGTTCCTCCAAAAATCCATTGTCAAAAGAAAAGAAGTACATTGCAGTACTGAGACCAAAGAGAGAAAAAGTTAGATCCCTTAAAGTGTTACTAAACCCAGGACTGGTCTCTCACAGTACACAGAACACAGAAATGCAATTATTTCAGTAAATATAAACTGCTAAATACCTTTTTCCATCAGCAGTATATAGCAGTCTTGTGACTTCTATCAGTGTCCAGCCGAGCACTGGTTAAAGCTTGTAGGAGGTGTTTTCTTTCTGCTCTAGGAGGATGCAGAACCTGACCTCTGTCTCAACAGTGCTGATTGACCCTGTGCTGATCACATGTACTCTCCCAAGAAAAAAAATCCTCTCTAGCAATACACTTCAAACTGAGCATGTGCACAGTGTCTCCACACAATATGTCTTATCAGGAGATAAGAGGGGGGCACTGGAAGATGGGGAGGATCAGAAAAGTCAGGATCAAAGAGCATTTTTACACAATGCAGAGGATTAACCCTTTAGGTTCCACAGTGAGTATAACAAGCATGCTTTACTGCATATACAGACTGATTTTACTGTTGTGGGTTTAGTAACACTTTAAGGGTTGGATTTTACGATCTGATAGCCAGATGTTTAACTTTGTGCTTACATTGGTTGCTTTACAAAAGGCAAATAGACTGCGCACTTTGCAAAGTGCAGTTGCACTACGCAAGTGCAGTTTCTACAGGGCTTATCATAAGAGCAAAACCTCTGCTGACTTCCATTATCTAATTATGTGTAAGCAAAAATTTTGTTTTTTTTTATTTTTATTGCACCTGATTGGGCATCCTTTGCAAAGTGAATCTTTATCGCATTTACTAAGCTCTGGAGCAATTGCACTTGCAGAGGGAAACTGCACTTTGCAAAGTGCACAGCCTAGAAGATGTAAATAATTATAGATGGTGCCACAGAAAAAATATTAATTCACAGTATGCCAAACAATAAAAATGAAATAAATTAAATAAATGCTTCTAGCTGCAAAAATCCGCCCTATAACCATAAGGTGTACAAATAATGAACAAACAAATTGCGCTAGTAATAAATTATATCACCAAAATATTATCAAAAAAAGAAAAAATGTCCCATAAATATAAATATAAATCATAAAAAGTCCCAAAAAGTAACTCTTCAATTATGTAATTGGTGAACAAATAATCAAACGAAATCCACCAAAAGTGTCAATCCACCACCAAATAAAAGAGCTATATGCTGATAATATTATAAATCAGCATAAAACACTTTTTGCTCTGAGAGCAATGATCTGCAGGCTGATGAGACAATGCTTGGCTTGAAAAAAAAAAAGTGCACAGCCTGTTTGCCTGTAGTAAATAACCCCACAGTGCCTACACTTTCTCTGTTAGTTTTATCTTACAGAAAATCAGCCTTAGACACCAGGCACCAGGAGCATACCACCATGGGTCTGTGACACCTTCACGCCATGACCGCTGCAATATACTATATAACCGAGAAAAAGGGAATGGGCTGCCTTAATGCATTGCACATCAATGACTGATAAAAAGGACATTCTAGCACAACTTTTCACTACAATATTCACGTGACACAAGGGGTGGAGCTTGCACAACATGATGTTATAATTCGGGTGTGCCTAGGGTAACATAATGTGTATATACAGCTCCGTCTATGGATATTTCATATACATATTGAAGAACCTACAAAGGTGTCTGGACGGAAACCCCTCACAGCCATGGGGAATTTGAACACCTGGATCCTGGACTGCAGGAAAAAGCCCAACACAAAATCAAACCCTGCCCCACCACTTCTGGGTTGAGCTTATGCCCCACTCACACTTTCATTTGGTTGGAATGCACGTGTTCCTGGGCATGTTACTGCAACACGAGGCACCATGTGTTATTTGCAATGCAATTCATTCTGAATGACACCCCAACGCACATCACCATCAGAGGTAGCAGTGCAGCAACCCAATGGGGGAGATTTACTAAAAGTGGTGCCTTCAGAATCTGGTGCAGCTGTGCACGGTAGCCAATCCTTTCATATATTTCATTACTTTGTTTATTTGGATGCACAACATGTTCATTTGGGCACATCATGCACTTCATGTGCACACATATCTTTAATACCATCTTTTTTTCCTTTGGGATTCCTTTTCTTTTTGTTTTTTGATGGTTACGCTTGTTTTTTGATGCGTTACATTTGATATATATTTTTTCTGCTGTTTTGATATATTCCTGTCTGAATATGTATTTTTTTTTGTGATTTTTTTATACTTTATCCCAAGCAGACATAGGTTTTTGTATATATTATTATTTTAATTTTGATAATTTACAAATGTGGCTTCTCAGCCCATATCATCTTGTAATATTTACTTGCTTTTATCTGTGTTTGTGCATGTTATTTCATTTTTTATTTTACTTTTCATTTACAATTTTTTCACAATTTGTATTCATTATTCTTTTTCTCTTTCTTTGTTTTTCTTTTTTATTCTACTTCATTTTCCTTTTTCTTTTCTTCCCTTCTTGTTGTTTTTTGATATCACTGTTTTTGATACAATGGTTTTATATGTTTTGTTACAATGTACAATCCTCAGGATTCAGGAGTGCTGATTAGGACACGTGTTCTTTATTAACTAACTCCTATATAAGAGAGCACTTTTGTTGTTTACTTTGTTATGATTAAGCACAAGATCGTGTGATATGCGTTAACAGGTCCTGTATTCATGTCCTGGTGTTTTGTGTGTCCTATGGATCAATAAATACACACTATATTCATCTATCCTCTCGTTTGTGGCTGACCCTTCTTCCTATTGCACTGTGAATGGTGGCGAGCCAGATCCTGTACCTGTCGTGGATTGATCAGGATTGTTTGCCTGAGCGGTATACCTCTGTTCCATGGTAGCCAATCAGCTTCTAACTTTACTTGTTCAATTAAACCTGGAAGCCAATTGGTTTCTATGCAGAGCTGCACCAGATTTTGCACCATGCACTTTTAGCAACTAACTGCCACTGACATGTCAAAAAAAGGTGCGGGTCTGACTTCTGGACCACTGAGGTGCATGCTGGCCAATTCATTTTGAGTAAGTTGCCTAACACAGTGCACATTAAGGGGTGCAAAAATATGCACTTCAGAGGTTAGATGTAGCATAAATCCCTCTCTGTATACATAAAAGCAATATAAACATACAGTATAAAACTAAGCCATATATATATATATATATATATATATATATATATATATATATATAAATTTGTTTATTTCAGATACTTATATAGTGCCGTTAATTTTACGCAGCGCTTTACATATATATTGTACATTCCCATCAGTCCCTAACCCTCAAGGGGCGTACAATCTAAGGTCCCTAACTCACATTCATACGTACACATCCTAGGGCTAATTTAGACAGGAGACAATTCACTTACCAGCATGTCTTTGGAGTGTGGGAGGAAACTGGAGTACCCGGAGGAAACCCACGCAGGCACAGGAAGAACATGCAAACCCCAGGCACAGGGAGAACATGCAAACCCCAGGCAGGTGGTGCTGTGGTTGGGATATGAACCAACGACCCTAGTGCTGCCAGGCGGAAGTGCTAACCATTTAGCCACTGTGCTGCCCAATATATATATCTATATCTATAGATATATATAGATATATATCTATATATATATATATATCTATACATATATATCTATATATATATATCTATATATATATATATATATATATATATATATATATATATATATATATATATATATATATATGTGTCAATTTTCTCTGTATGTAGTATGCTCTGTATTTTAGATGGAGCCTGTTTGTGTTTGAGTTAGGATAGCAGGCTGCCATCACTGGGAAAAGGTTACCTTCCCCACGTTGTACATTTGTATTGTATTTTTTTAATGCCCTGGCACTGTGAAGTGGAACATATTGGCTCCTTATCGATAATGAAGGTAAAGGTCATTCCAGGTGTGTTTAATGGAGCAGTTCCTGTAATGGCTACACATATACTGTTGTGGTGAATTATAATTTGCCCTTTGTCTGGAGCTGGAAGTCACTTCTTACAGCTTTTCAAGTAATACAATTTACAATCTGTTTTATATATAGAGTTTATATATACATTTTTATTATAGGGAACAGATGCATTTTAATACACAGACAATTTTAATACTTCAATTATGTTGATGGTTTTAATTTTTGAGAATAAAGATGACTATATGCTGACACATCAGCTCTCCTGAACTTTGCCTTCAGCTGCTTGTGATAAGTGGAGTTGGCCATCAACTGTGCTGGCAAAATCTCACCAATATGAGAAACTGGGACACATAGGGTTTGATTTGCTGAAGGCATATGGACCATGCACATTGCAAAGTGCAGTTGCTCCAGACCTTAGTAAATGAGGTAAAGCTCCAATTTGTAAAGAATACCCAATCACATGCAAGGAAATTAAAAAAAAACAACATTTTTGCTTGCACATGATTGGATTATGGAAGTCAACAGAGCTTCTGCCCATTTACTAAGCTCTAGAGCAATTGCACTTGCAGAGTTCTACTGCACTTTGCAAAGTGCGCAGTCTATCTGCCTTTAGAGAGTCAACCCCATAGAACAAACCAATGTTTTGTGCTGAATAAAAAGCAGACTATATAATCCGCAATGGCAGTCCATACTATGCTGTGCCCTAATTAGGGATAAGCTGATGCATTTCGGGAGACAAACCCCTTCTTCAGAGCAGCTGCCATTGCGGATTACATATTCTGCTTTTTATTTACCTTTGGTTTGTGAGTATACATCTTTTTGTTTACACAATAAATACATGGTTTACCACGGTAACGCACGATGAGAGTGCGCCCTTGTTTGCTTTTGTTTATCAGTATCCAGATTTCCTGATCTTTGAAGGGCTAGACCTCCTCGGTTGGCATTCCGAATTTCATCTAGTTTGCATGAAGATTTGAGCGCTGGTTTCGTTTGTTTGTCTTTGCAATGTGTTGTGCTGGGCAAAAGCTAAAAACCCAAGGTAACTTTACCTTTACAGCAGAACTGTACCTTGAAAAAAGGTAGAAGAGACTGTCAGATGCAGAAGAGTGGAGCCAAGTTCCAGGATGGTACAATTCCACTGTACATACACAGGAGTTGCATCATTACTGAGCATCCTATTGACAAAGTAGGAGAACGATGGCAGTGGGAGAAACATTTGCAAAGATGGAGCTGGAGGATAGATATCAGTGATGGAGAAGGTGGGACTGTCATCGGTGGCTTGTGGTAAACCCAAAGGGAAGTTTTCCATAATGAGCAAATATGTTGGGTTTACTTGCACACTATTGCAAATTCTCCCTTTGCCCCCATTCAGTTCTGCTTTGAGTGCACTACCTGGATTCTGGCGTGCCGGTGCTACAACTTTGTACATAAATGCACATACCTTGTACGTTTACACACATTGGCAGGACAGCATTTTATCCCTTTGATGCTCACAAAATGCGTCAAAACTCAGTGTATGTGCTGGAGTTGGCACATAGAAAAATGGCTGCACCTAGTTCACGTGCTGACCTCAAGAGGCAGATGGCCATTTTTCTCTATTGAATAT